AAGCAGACAGTAAGTATCCAAGAGGTGTTGTACGAAACAACTCGGAGTTATGAGATGGCTCTGGGCTGTTTATCTGCAGAGATACTGCCGGTCTCCTGTGCCCTTTTTTTGGACCCCTGAACTTTAAACTGTGCTGTGGGACAGATTTAGGATGGCTGTGAGCAGAATCTTTGTGTTGTACCAGATGTTTATAGACTGGTTTGGGTTCTGCTGAAGAAAAGCAAAAAAAAATTTTTTTTTACAAAGACAGCTAACTAGTGATCCGGACCCCTAAACATCACTTATATATGATTACTCTGAAAGAAGTTAGTATTCTGTATGATGGGAGAAACTGCCTTGAGATAGAGATAGAGAGAAAAAAGGCTCCTAAAAAAGATTTTTCTATTGGGTACAAATCACACATAGGGGTCAATTACCTAAAAGTTACTACATGCGATATGAAGGTCATGTGACCCATTTTTAAGAAATATTTAATGCCATAATAAAAGAGTCAATTCATCAAAGTAAAATATTGAATGTGAGGTAAATACCACAAAAAAAAAAAAATGAAAGAAATTATTGTGGTCACCTTACCTCATCAGTGGGCTTTATGCAGTCTTACATTTGTTCTAAAAATTATGATAATGCAGGCCATACATGGGTCGAATCCTGAACAAATTATATTCAGAAAATCGTAAATTTTGTGCATTTTGTAATCCAATGGTGCCACCGTTGATTTTGAAAGTTGACCAACCAAGCCTTTAATTTCACCTCATGTTGCTACAGAAAATAATTTTCATGGCTAAGAATTGTCTTCTCTTTCCAGGTCACAGCTCATGCTCATTTCTTTTTCAATTACATTTCTTGCACGATTCTCCCATCATTGATTAGAAATAGCTCGATTACTCAATTCGATGACCACCCAAAAATCAGACATTGCTGTGGCCCACCAATGGTGCGAAATTAAAATTAAAATTCTTAGAAAAGATTTTCAAGAGAAAATTCTTTTGGATTTTGACCCATGTATGTCAGGCTTAAGCCATTTGGTGACATTCTGCAAATTTGCAAGCACAGTCCACCTGTGAGTGGCATATGTTTTTTTCATCTGTTTACAATTATGTTTGGTATAATTACATTAAAATTGATTAAGCTGTGGTCTTGTCCTTCCAAAAAGAATAGTTTCATCGCAATTATTATTATTTTGGAACATGGTGTTTAATATCTGATTAAGGCATAGTACATGTTGTTACGCCAATGCTTCTAAACAGTCATTGGATCTGCTTCGCTGGACCGCTTACAGGGTCTAGAATTAGCCGTTATTGTCAAAATCTTGTAGAACCGTACAGCACGTTGGAATCAATATTCTTTTATAGCTGAAGTAAACACCAACAGAATGTGAACACAAATATCTGTTGTGGTTCACTTTCATGTCCATATCACCATATATAATTCAGTCTACACTTTATGTGTATTGGCTTTTGTTAGCCATACAGGCAGAGTTGCTGCTTGGTAGAAACTTTAGTGTATTATGATTGCTATCCTGAGAAACTAATAGATGTTTCTATTTTTCTAGAACTTTGTGATAATTATGATATAGTTCATTTATTATGCATCAAGCTGATTATTTGAGTGCATCTTTCATTTATCCATGCACAAGAGATAATTTCCCTACCGAGGGGCACTGTGGATGTTTCTCACTCTATGGGGGAGATTTACCAAAACTGGAGCATTAAGAATCTGGGGTAGCTGTGCATAGTAGCCAATCAGCTTCTAACGTCAGCTGTTTAATTAAGCTTTGACAATAAAACCTAGAAGCTGATTGGTTTCTTTTCAGAGCTGCGCCAGATTTTACTTGCTTCAGTGTTAGTAAATCCCCTCCTTTGTGACAAATGTTGCCCCCCAACAACTCTGTCTGAGAAAAAGTACAAAGGTCAAATATAGAGTTAGATATTTTTAATCAGATGTGGTAATAGTGGTCAGCAATAGTGGGACAGCAAACTTATAGTGGCGGGAATTCAAAGTACAAAGGTCAAATATAGACAGATACGGTAATAGTGGCGACGATCAGCAACTTATAGTGGGACTGTGGGGGGAATTCAAAGTACAAAGGTCAAATATAGAGTTAGATATTTTTAATCAGATACGGTAATAGTGGCAATGATCAGTGACTTATAGTGGGACTACGGGACTGCGACGGTAATTCTGACACTGGGTGGGAACTGACTAACTGCCACTGACATCCCCAGTGATACTAATACAGTGATCAGTGCTAATAAAAAGCACTGACACTGTACTAATGACACTGGGCAGGAAGGGGTTAACATCTGGGGCGATCAAAGGGTTAACTGTCTGCTGTGTGTGTTTTACTGTGTGCACTGTGTTGTCTTTTACTAGGAAGACATGCTATTTTGTATCTCTTTGCTGTGCAGAGAGATACAAAACAGCATGACCATGCTGACAGGAGAGGGAGCTGTGTTGTTTACACTCAGGTCTATCCCCTGTCAGCTTTCCCCGACGATCGCCGAGTGCCGGCCAGGGATCGCCAGCCGCGGTCCCAGTGATTGAGATCTATAGCCGTCAATAGCAGCGTGGGTAGGGTGGTGTGCAGCCCCTACCTGGAAATGCAAATCATGCATATATTCGTGATTTTGCACAGCCCTGCCACCCAGTAGCAGTACTTTTGCTATAGGGCGGAGGGCAACTGGTTAAAGGTGTTGCAATACATCAGTATTCAGAAGAGATATATTCTTCAATCAGTAGATGGCAGTGTTAATAAGTTTGTTGCTGTAGCTATGATAAAACTCTATGTCTTTACTCTGGATAAAGTTTCCTGTTTCCTGTTGCAGTGAAGCAGAAAAAGACATGTAGACTGTGTACTGTCTGTTCTGTAGAGCTACTGTATACACAGAATTTCTAAAAAAGGCCAGAACTGAAAAATGCTTGCATGCATATCTATATACCTTTTAGAGTACCCTAGATTTCAAGGCAAATCTGAAGCTACAGAATCTACAACTCACCTAGTCTGCTTTCCACACATCACAAAAGGCTCATAGCAAGGACAAACTTACTCGAGGAACAACAATGTGGCCATTAAGAGAGGAAGGATATGGTCAGAGGTATAAGAGACCAGCATGGGCCCTGGGTTAAGGGAACCCCATACTTGCTCTACTGGATAATTTATTTTTATTTTATAAAATTAAACAAAATTATTAAATGAATATTGTATTAAAATGTAATAACACATATTTAAAGTGTTTCTAAAGGCAGGATATTTTTACTTTAAGATAAAAAATGTCCCAGTAATTGTATTGCCCCCTCACCTTCCTATATACTTACCTGAGTCCTATCTTGATCCAGTTTTATGCTCATTTGCAGCGGCGCTGGTCTGTGTTCCACTGCGCACAGGACACAGAGGCAATATTGGGAGCCATTGGCTTCTACTGCTGTTAATCAAATCCTGTGAGGAGGGAGTGAGTGGAGGTCTATGGACACACACAGCCCTGCTTGGGAGTGAGCCTGCAGGTTTGCCCCATAGCATGTGGCTTGCTATGGGGGCAAACACAGATGAGGAAGAGCTGAGAGCCTCAATAGACTCGTGATACCTCTAGGGGAGAAAATGGAATACCATAAGTGTGTGGTTGGAAGGGCAATGTTAGAGGTACTCCAAGTACCAATAAAAGGGAGTATGTTTAGGGTGGGCTTTTTCTGAAAGGGATTTTGTAAAGTTGTGCCGTATTATATTTAAGAGTTTCCACTACCAGTAGAAGAGGGATATTTGGGTGGACCTTTAGGAATGTGGTAGGGGTACATCTGTACCACACCAAATGGGTGCAGTTTTTGGGTGAGGAAGGTATAGATAAAAAACAATACAGTAAATGGTAACATATAATAGTGGGATAAAGAGAGGTTCTAAGGTAAAAGTGGAGGGAAGTGGGTTAATACTGAAGTGATCCTAAAATCTTGTTTTTTTTTTTCTTAAAAATAAAAAACATGTCATACTTACCTGCTTGATGGTGTGATGGTTTTGCACAGAGCAGCCCGGATCCCCTTCTTGGGTCCCCCACCATTGCTCCTGGCCCCACCCTCCTTTCAGGTGCCCCATAGCAAATAGCTTGCTATGGGGGCACACAAACAGGCACGCTTCTGAGCCGCAGCTCTGCGTGTCCATTCTCGGACAGAGTCTCGGCTTGACCCCCTTCCCTCCCTCTCTTGATTGGCTCATTCGCTTTCAGGAGAGGGAACTGAGCCGGGGAACTAAGGCTGTTGTGGACATAGCTGGATTGGTAAGGGGCTCAGGTAAGTGTTGGGAGGGCTGGGGGCGTTGCTACACACAGAAGGGTTTTTTACCTTTACACATAGAATGCATGAAGGTAAAAAACCTTGAGACTTTAGAACAACTTTAAAGTGGTAGTAAACATCACTTAGACATTTGTACCTACAAGTAAACTTATAACAAAGGTTACCTGTAGGGACAAAGAATATCTCCTAAATTTGCACCCTTTAGAACAGTGATGGCGAACCTTTTTGAGCCCGAGTGCCCAAAACTGCAACACAAACCAACTTTTTTATTTCAAAGTGCCAACACTGCAATTAACCACTTGCCTACCTGGACGCACTGACAGACGGCACTGATCGGTGGCACTGCTGGGCATCATTGATGGGTGGCACTGATGGGCAGCACTGATGGGCGACACTGCTGGGCACTGACAGGTGGCACTGCTGGGCAGCACTGACAGGTGGCACTGCTGGGCAGCGCTGACAGGCGACACTGCTGGGCACTGATGGATGACACTGCTGGACACTGCTGGGCATCATTGATGGGTGGCACTGATGGGCAACACTGATGGGCGACACTGCTGGGCACTGATGGATGACACTGCTGGACACTGCTGGGCATCATTGATGGGTGGCACTGATGGGCAGCACTGATGGGCGACACTGCTGGGCACTGACAGGTGGCACTGCTGGGCAGCACTGACAGGTGGCACTGCTGGGCAGCAGGCTGCTGGGCAGCACAGGCAACACTGCTGGGCACTGATGGATGGCACTGCTGGGCATCATTGATGGGTGGCACTGATGGGCAGCACTGATGGGCGATACTGCTGGGCACTGACATGTGGCACTGCTGGGCAGCACTGGCAGGTGGCACTGCTGGGCAGCACTGACAGGCGACACTGCTGGGCACTGATGGATGGCACTGCTGGGCATCATTGATGGGTGGCACTGATGGGCAGCACTGATGGGTGACACTGCTGGGCACTGACAGGCGACACTGCTGGGCACTGATGGATGACACTGCAAGCAGTTAATCTCACCTCTGGCAGCGTCGGTGTGGCTTCCAACCCAGCAGCTCATTCCCATTCATGCTGAACACGATGCCCCTGGCCCCGGAGCAGTGTGGGAGCCTCTTCCTCTCTTCCGCGCCCATCCCCGGGTACATCACCCCTGGTGCCAGAGCCGCATTGGAGCCGTTTCCTCTCGTCCACGCCCACTCTGGCCCCAGAGACATGTGGGAAATGTAGTTTGATGGAGGTCCAGTGTGGACGAGATCTGGATGGCCGGTCCGTGTGCGCTCATCATCCTCTTCTTCCTGGTGTGCCCACTGAGATGGCTCTGCGTGCCAGCTCTGGCACGCGTGCCATAGGTTCGCCATCACTGCTTTAGAAGATATTTACTGTTTCTGCAGCCTGGGAGGTCTCAGACACATGCACTGTGAAGGAATAACATACTCATATGGATATCCTGGATGTCCTGAGGAAGTCACAAGTGTGGTGACGCAACGCGTCGATACGTGAGAACGCAGCTTCCGGCGAGCGGTGACGTATTTCCGGTACAACCGCCATCTTGGTACACCTGTTAGTGAGGCTAGTTCACCCATGCAATACACCCATGCATGTGAGGAGGAGCACTTGTAATCTTGTATTATCACGGAAGGAAGCACGGTAGTGCTCATCTAATGTAAGTGCTATTTCACTTGTAATAAAGCACTGATTATCTGGATTACTACACTGAGTTTTCTATATTCCTCATTATCCTGACGAGTGGCGTATCCAGTGGTGGTCAACCTTGCATGAAGTTTTACTGCGTTGCAGGCATCACCACTTGCTGTTTGTGAACTGTATTCACATTTGACTTATTTACCCACCTCACATACTATTATATAGAGTGGGAGTGAGGGGGGCACGTTTATTGTTACCAGTACCTCATATAGTCACTGTTATTTATCTCTGTGTGGTTATTCAAGTGTGTATATTGTACTATATGTCATTCGTGTAGCGCTGCACTACCTCTTTATATATATGAGTATAATAGTCACTTCAGATTAGATGAGGTTCCAGAAGGAGGTTAACCTGGGAGCAGGTGATTAGCCAGGAAAGTATATAAATCCAGTGGTGTGCGGTGATATAGTAAAAATGCAAACTCACCAGAAGCGCTGTTTAAAAGCGCGTTTGACAATATTATCTGGCTTAAAGGACTCCCATCAAATGGAACCTAGTCTGGTCTGGATGATGTCCACCTCTAATGGTATAGGGGGTGATGTCAATCAAAGGTCCCTCTCCGGGGTTAAAAGGTGGGTCTGGTCATACAGCATAACTCATCCTCTAAAGGTCTGGTCATACAGCATAATTCATCCTCTGATTAAGGTTTTTATGTCTGTTGTTATGCGCTGCACTACTGTTATTTATTCTATATAACTATGATACTCCACAACAACAAACACCAAGAGGAACAAAAAAATAGAACTTAAATAATAATTGCTTGATCCATTTGGTGTAGTCGTTAGTTTAAATAAATCATCCAGGTGGAGTGTATGCATGGCATCTGTTCTGTACCTCTTGCAAACCAGCTGCCGTCACTATCTCAAAACCTTTTTATAGTTGGAGTAAATAATCGTATTAGATTGCTTTTTTTTTTCTTAAGATATTTCATTCATTGTATCTTAGCTGGCCTGCTTTTTTGAACAAACAGCCTCATTAACAATATTAATTACAGCTTGTGTTATTTTTTTTTTCTACTCTGTATGCATTAAATCACCTTTGTCAAGTGATGCAATAAAAACAATTCCAGCATCCAACCTTTAAACCAGTCTGTAACTGGGTATATAACAAACACAGCTGTGATGCAATGAAGAATTGTATATCTGTATATCCATTATGAAAAGATTGCAGTCATACAATCCCAAGCAAAAATAAATATACTTATTCTACAGTGCAAGAATTGTTTGCTCGGAATTATCTGCTGAATGACACTATAAATACTGAGCTATTAGCAAACCCTTCTTCTGTCAGATGTACAGCAGATGTCATTGTTCACTGCCATGTGACCGAGACAAAGAAAAAAATAAGTGAATGGCTTTAGAACTGCCAGGTCAGTTGATGTTCATTTTTAGCTCTCTGTGCATATTTTATGGTAATAGCAAAGACTTTGAAAAGTTTTCTTTCAATTAGTAATGCAAATGAATAGAGAAGTGTATTAATTTGTCTAATGCCATGTTCACAGTTCTGTTTCATGTTAAAAAAACAAACTTTATTAAGATAAAAAAAAAGAAGCAGTACAACAACATAATGCAGTACATTGTATTTACAAAAATAGAGACATCAAGAATACAGAATAGCTTCATAGTCCAGACTTTCATAACAACATTATGAAATGACAATAAAGGGAATATCATAAATAATAGTGAGAGTGGGTGCTAGATGGAAAAAAAGGAGAGGGAGGCACCATAAATGGTTGACTGGGGGGGGGGATAAAGGGGGGGGTAATGGACTGGCTAAATTGTTTCCACGGACAAAAGGCAAGATATCATTGTACCAAAAACTTCAGAAATACACATACAGGCTTACTATGGTGAGCAGCGTATAAATCAGACATCAGCTTATTGTAGGGAAAAATAGAGGTAACATAAACTGACCAGGCTCAGAACTTGGAGTGTGGGGGGGGGGTTGGCTTGCATCCAGGTACGTACAATAAGTTGGCTAGCACTATATAGGGTCTCGTGAAGAAAAATGGTTAGTGTTACTAGACCAACAACAGTAAAATCAGTCTGTATATGCATTAAAGTATGCTTGTTATAACCACTATGCAACTTAAGGGGTTAATCCTGTGCATTGTGTAGAAAGGCTGTTTGATCCTGTCTTCTCTGATCCTCCCCTTCTTTTGCTGTCCCCAATCCACCTGCCATAGCACAAAGCAGCAGTGGCAAGTCTGCACATGCTCTGTTTGGTGTGTATTGCCGGAGAGGTTTTTTTTGGAGAATGCATGTGATCAGCACAGGGCCAAGCAGTGCTGTCCAGACAGAGGGACAGGGGTTATGCAGCCTCATAGGACAGTTAGGGGAGAATGAAAACTCCTCCTACAAGAATAACCAGTGCTCGGTTGGACACTGAGAGAAGTCACAAGACTGCTATATACTTCTGATGAGAAAAGGTATATAGCATTTTATATTTCCTAAAATAATTGCATTTCCTTGTTCTGTGCACTGTCGAAGATTGGATATAGTGAATGCAGGGTCATGGCTTTAGTAATACTTTAATACTTGTCCTTATCCGGATTAAGTAAGGCGGCCAAGTAAACAAGATTTGGGGTCTAGTTGGAGAGGGGAGCTCATCCAATCATGTAAAAATTGTATAATTTGTGACCAGAAGGCCTGTATAGCTGGCATGTCCAAATCAGGTGATAAAACATGCCTGGAGCGACTGAGCACCAGGGGCACAATGGGCTGTGATCAGGGCGATATCTGGATACCCTAAGTGGAGTAAGATATGCCCGATGTATGATATATAGTTGCATGAGATGGTTGGAGACCTTGGGAGAAACCAATTTGTGGTTTTCTACAACTTTCTCCCAATATAAATCTTCTAGGGCACCTATATCCTCATCCCAGTGAAACCTAACCCTGTATGCCATTCAGGTGGCCGTTCTGATGTTATAGAAAATGGAGATTAATTTTGTAGAATCTGAGCCCAGAATGACATACACTAGAAGAAATACTTGAATGGTTGGGAACTTGCCTGGAAACTGAGCCCGCAAAGGTGTGGCAGAGCTGTGAATAGCGAAACAGCATGTAATTAGGGAGATCATATTCATCCCTAAGGGTCTGGAATGGTCTGGGGCCCTTGGGTGCAAGCAGTTTGAATCCCCTTGGAGGCCCACAAAGAGGAAATTGAAATGGAGCATATCTCCGGCAAATATGGATTGGGCCACAGGGGGACATGTGATTGGTAAGAAGATGCTTCTAGCTGACGCAAGGCCAACTTCCACGCACTATCGTAAACTGTTTAATAGCATGATACCTGTAATGAGCATAATTAAGAGATTAGGTTTTGCTGATGTGTAACAGGTGCACTAAAGTGATCCCTTGTAGTCAACCCCTTGGTGGGCATGCAACCGCATTGGAAAAGATACACAAATTACTCCAAGGTTCTTGGTGCCCACTTGAAAGCCTAACTGTTTTCTGGCTGTTCCATGTTTTTGCACTTAATACTCCCATAGCTCCCAGTTGTACCTGATTTAAAGGGACTTTCCCTCAAAAAATTCCTCTGTTCCTTTTCCTCCTCATTTGCCCCTCATTCTGGTCTCTTGTATATACCTGTAAAAAATGCACTAATCATCAAATAGTGTTTTACAGTGGCTATCCTAACCTATCATCCAACTTCTAAATGACTGAATTTGTAAACTTCAAAAGCCAGTATAAAGGAATATTAATGATAAAAAAGCATTAGTGGGTTCTACCAATCATTTTGTGTGTATAAATTCTTCATGTAACAGGGTTGTGTTCTTTGCCTACATACTTTTGTCTATTAGGCCCTCGAACCCCTCATGTATTGTTTTGTTACTGTATTGTCTCATGTTCTGTCCCCCACTATAATGTACAGCGCTGAGCAAACCTTTCTGGCGCTATATAAATACTGTATAATAAATAATAATAATAATTAGATGTTCCATGTTTCTCAACTATGCTATGAAGTTAGGATTCTGGATGTTGACTGGAAACCAAAAAAAAAATAACTTTCAGTAGAAAGATCACATCCTCTTACCTTTTTCCAGACTTTGTAAGCATCTTTGTTAACCAAAATAGAGCACTTTCACTCCATGACATAAAATCCTTTTTTGCGTAGAAAATTTAGTATCTTCGCACAAAGAAAACCACTTTTTTTTGAAGGCCCAGACAAATCCCTGGAATATCTAAGACCAGGTTTAAACACATCATCTCGATGCTCACCTTCATAATGCTATATTAACATTTTCAGTCTGAACAATCTAATTCTGGGAGAAATTTTAACATAGTCCTCTATGTATGTCACAGACAATTTTACATACCTCATTCTAAACTTCATACTTTGTTGAGATATGGTTGACCTTTGGTAGACGTTTAACCCTGCAG